GGCTAGAGACAGACAAGTATAACAGAGTAGGGAGGGTATTTTCTAACCATCCACAGTATAAAGGCACCGTACAGTAAGTATGGACAGTGATTGCTTGAATACTCCAAACTAGCTAGTAAAAAGAATTTTGAATGTTTCCAACATTAAAAAATGGCCGATGTCTGTGCTGATACATCAGTTGTTCCAATAGGACTGACCATTTATACTGTTCAAGACTTGACATGTCACATTTTACTCCCTGAACATTTATAATGACTACTACAGGTTTAAAACTTCCTTTCTTTTATTTTTTGAAATAAGATCTTACCTTGGAGTCCTTCTTGGGCTGTAACTTGTGATAATCCCCATATCTCTACATCTTGAATTCTGGTACTACTATGAGCATGAAGGTCCATGTCTGGTTTCTAAAAGTATTCTTGGAAACCTAGCCAGAGGTCCCAAGCTCAGAGTCCCTGCTCACAAGGTAAATGGAAAGTGTCATTTTTAGCATCTGTGGGGCCTGAGGAAGTCCACTTCCAATGCCTTCTGTTTCTAGTCCATCCATCCCTCTTCTGCACCCTCGTCTTCCTGGACTCCAACCATCTGTGGGTGGGTAGAACCATCAACGTGATGACACAAGATCATCACATTGGAAAAGGGGGATGGTGTCCTCTGGCACCCAAGCATTTCGTGTGACATATCTAGTCAGTGAGTGATCTGGAGTCAAGGAGAGTGTGTGTGTGTGCAGATGGTGGTGAAGGACACTGGGAGATAGGTGTGAAGTACAAACGACATCACTTCAGCAAGCTCTGCTCGCTGTACATCATAGCTGCACTGTTGAGTGAGGTCTCAGCCTACACCCAACAGCACACTGTGGACCACAGTCACTAGCTGGGAGAAACACACACACACACACACACACACACACACACACACTTTCTTTTGTCATAGATTTCCAAGACTCCTCTTTCACTGGGCAGGGAAAGGATCAGGATGCAAACGTTGAGCTACTCTGTTTCCCTCCTTGAGAAGAATTCTCCACCTTCAGCGCTGTTGACGTCTACTGACAGAAGCTGGGTTTAGCACCAGTAAGGTGAGACTTTGTAACTCTTTGCTCAGTACCTCCTGTCTGTTCTCATGAACTCCAGAGGACTCTCCTCACCTTCACTACCATTTTCTCTGAGATGCTGATCCTCGTGTGTAGAGTTAAACCCCTGGCATCGGCATCCTTGTGTTCTACTTCTGTTCTAGTTATTGTTCAATTGCTTATATCAGACTGTCCTTGATTATGCTTTGATTGCTTCTAGTACCTAGTCAGTGAAAACTCACAGAAACCATCATATTGGATTGCTTAAAGATTAGTGACAAGAATAAAAATGGTGCATGTCCCCTGCATACTTTTTATTTTCAGATATTGTAAATCTGAGATTGGATGGGTCCTGGGATGTGGAAGCTGTAGAGATGGATGGAACCGGTACCCATCTTGCTTACAATGTTGCATTCTGGGTATCCGAGATCTGAGGAGCACAGTATAACATCAACTATTTGTAGAACAAATGTTCTCAAGGCATCTGCTGGTATAAATGCCTACTGGTAATTTTCCACTGGGAATTTGTTAAAATGAAACACAAAGCCCTGCAGTACACTGGCAACATGCTCTTTCAGTCTTTCGGTTCTAGAAAAGGCGTGTTACTGGAGGACGACGTCATCTTCTTGGCCTCCTTGGGGACCAGGAAAAGCCGTGGGGAAGAACACCGTGTTCATTGCGTGTTTTTATTTGCCAGAGACAGACCCTGCCAGTGAAACAAAAGGGACTGAGATCAAACACCCAGGGCCAGTGGCTCAGTCTCTGATCTTAGTAGCCATGAGGGTAGAACAGGAATCACAGAGTGATCTGGTCACCTAGAATAGATTCATTTGAAAGAACACTCTGGAATTCAGGAGCCCTCTCTGTCTCCGTGAGCCATCATGACTGCTCCTTAGCTGAGAGTATTTAAAAGGACTCACTTGTTCTCCATTTAATACACCCCTAGGAGGGGAGAATTTCTCACCAAGCAAGTTCAACAGGGGTTAGCAACCTACAATTCAGTCATACACATAGGTGCTTCAGAATCTGCCAGAGTTGAATGTTCATGCCTTTCAAAATACAAGATGCCAGAATATTAAAGCTTGAGATATGATGAAGAGGGGAGAATACTAAGTGTCCTGGCTCTCTGGACTGGGATTAGTGCTCATATAAAGAGATTGGCAGAAGGCATATAGTTCAATAGACAAAGGTGCTTGCTGTCAAATCTGTAACCCTGAGCTCCATCCCTGGGCCTCATGTAGTAGAGAGAAAAACAACAAATAAATGAACTCGTGCAATTGTCTTCTGACCTCCGTATGTGTGCTGTGACACATGCATGCAAGTACATACTATACAAAATAAATACATATAGTAACATTTTTATTTAAAAAAAAAAAACAAGCTGTGAGGAACGCTCATTGATTTTCCTCCTCAGCCATGAGCAGGCACACCATTCATCTACCCCTTTCTTGTCTTGTCCTTCTGCCCTCTACCATGTGGGCAAGGGTGCCAGCTTGCATGCAAAATACTAGTCTGCTGGGTCTTACACTTCCCCACCTCTGGAACCCCAAGAAATATATTTCTATTGTTTATAAACTGTCAAATGGGCATGTTGTCAAATCACCCAGTTTCAGGAGCTCCGTTGCAGCATGAGAGATCTCAGGAGATCCTGGAAACCACAGAAGCTTAGATTTGTGTGGTGTGGTGTGTGTGTGTGTGTGTGTGTGTGTGTGTGTGTTCACACATGCGCAGATGCATGCGTGGTTGTTATGGAGGTCAGAGGCTTTGTTCCTCAAGGGATATTCATGCTCTGAGACAAGGCATCTCTCACTGGACTGAGGTTGTACAAGCAGGCTACTCTGTCTGGCCAGCAGACACCAGGGATCTGCATGTCTCTGCCTTCCCCGCCCTGGGATTAGAAGTGTGCACAACCGCACCCTACATTGTATGTGGGGTCTGAAGAGCACGCTTGGAGTCTCAAGCTTGCAAGATTAGCACGTTACCAACTGAGACATCTTCCCTCCTCCAGGCTGAGGTGCTGGAGTCATCGACTATGTTGAGATTCCCAGAATGTAAAGAAGAATAGACATTAGGGGTAAGGTTGAACACGCCAAACATGCTTCAGTCATTCTTGTCTCTGACCACCACACACAAACAATACATCACAATGCGCTATTTGCATGGCATTTATATTGTATCGGATACTGTAAGCTACCTGGACATGATCAGCATGCAAGAAGGTTGCAGAAGTGTGCAAACACTGGCATTTTATACAGCAGTCTTACACATCTTCAGATTTTGCTCTCTGCAGCAGGCCCTGGGACCATTTCCCCAGGCACAGAAGGACAGCTGGATTAAGTAAAAAGAAGTGTTCTGTGGATAACTGTGGAAATTGGTGCACCACAGGTATGATGCATGCCTGTAATCTCAGCATTTAGGAGGTGGAAGCAGGAGGATTGCCATGAGTCTAGGGACTGAGAGTTTTATACCAGCCTGGCCTATATCCTTGTCTCAAAAGTCCAGTATATTTATATGTGTTCATTCAAAGCACGTGTGTCAGAATGAATAATAGATAGGCTTCCTTTTACTCCAAACAAGAAAGAGTGAAGAGGCTCCTGCTAGGAATGGCTTCACAGTTGTGGGCTTTTGATAACACACAGAGCTGAGTTAAATGTGATTTTAACATTGACAGATATGGTAGTTTGAATCTAACTGGCTCCCATAGGTCCATAGGGAGTGGCACTATTTGGAGGTGTGGCCTTGCTGGAGTAGATGTGGCCTTGCTTATGCAAATGAGTCACTGTGGAGGTTGGCTTTGAGGTGTCATATGCTCAAGCTATGTCCAGTGTGGTATACAGTCTCCTTTTGCTGCCTGGAGATCAAGATGCTTCTCCAGCATCAAGTCTACCTGGCTTCATGCCGTGATGATAACAGACATTCTCTGAACTGATACCCAGACCCAATTAAACATTTTCTTTTATAAGAGTTGCTGTGGTCATGGTGTCTGTTCACAGCAATAAAACCCTGACTAAGACACTAGGGAACATCAGCTTTACCAGAACCCCCTTTACCACACTATTTTGAAAGTTTGACTTTAGAATATCTGTAGGGCCAGGCATGGTGGTATACACCCTTAGCCACAGCACTCTGGAGGCAGAGGCAGGAGGATGTCTGTGAGTTTAAGAACAGCTTGGTCTACATAGCAAGTCCCAGGGCAGCTAGGACTTTGTACTGAGACACTTCCTCAAAAATTAAACAAAAGAAAATAAGGTACTACATTTCTCTCTCCCCCTCCCTTTCGTCTGCAGTTTTCCTCCTGGCATTCGTTCAGTAAAGAGCTTCGGGCCCAGTATTCCAGACTCTGATGAAAATCGAAAATCAATCCTCTCTGTCTAATTATGCTAACCAGAGAAACGCTCCCAGTTTCGTAAGCATAGACCATACATACATATAGAATAAGGGGCAGTGTCTACAGGTAAAAAGTTGCTGAAGTAGGTTGGCCAGGGTTCTATTCGTTTCTAAATAATCAGATGACTTTTTAAAGTTTCTGTATATAAGTTACTTGTCCCAGATCTACAATCTATCTGAAGAACTAGGTGCATCTGCACCCCTTTATCCTTTTTGGAGTTGGAGGACATTCGAGTCTACCCCACGATCCCTCTCTTTGTGCGGGTCACTGTGCATGCCCTCCATCCAACCCCCAACCCCCTTCAGGGGCTGCCAGACCTTTTCAGAACTCTTTGCAAACCTGCAGGAGGAGGCGAAGACATTTCCTGCTTGCACCAGCAATCGCCTCTGCCCTCCTATCTCTCTTCTCCCACGGCCCATCTGTGCCTCCTCTCCGCTCCCTTCCTTGCCACCCCCGCCCTCGGCTGGGTGCTCCCGGCCCCTCCCTTGCGCGTCTGTATTTGGAGCTGCCGGAAGCCGCGGGCGACTCTCCCCGCGAGCAGCGTGACCGACTCCGGCTCCTGTGCAGGGGGGGAGGCGGAGGCAGCACAGGGCCTGCGGGAGGAGGGCGCGAGTGGCCGGAGCCGCTTTGCATCACCGAAGCCCGGACCTGGGCTCCACAGCAGGTCAGGCTAGAGCGCGGGGGAAGGGAGGGAGAATAAGGGGCTTGCCTGGGCGCCGGACACCCGGAGGTCGGCGTTTGCAAGTTGCGCGCCCCGGATAGGGTGGGAGAAGTCCAGGACGCGGGGAAGAAAGGCGAAGCGGACTCAGGGATCTGAGTCCACCCAGATGCGAGGACAAGGGAAGTGAGGACCTGGGATGCGGGGATCCCGGTCCCGGGGCAGTCCTCATCTGGGTCAGCGCAGCCCAGGTCTCCAGCTGCTCGCCTGGCGGTGAGGACCGCGAGTTTTGGTCTGAAGGGCCACCCTTGGCCTGCCCGCCGATAGCCACCGCACCCTAGGCCGGTCTAACTTCGAGGGGTCTCCACTGCTCTGCTCTGAGCCTCCCAAGTGTTCCAGGGTGGGTGTCATTGAAATAGATCTTGCCAATGCTACCTCAATCCGAAGGTGCTCGAAGGAAAGGAAGGGACCTGGCTTCTCTGCAGAATCTGACTTGAGGCCATGAGTCACTTCTAAAAAATGCAAACGCAACTGATGCTTTGAAGGGGCCGTTTTGAAAGTGGTACCCCGCAGCGGCTCTCAGACTGCCCCATAGGGGCTTGTTTGTGACATCAGCAATCTTGTCGTCATCTTTAGGCTGATAGTCCGCCATGCATTGAGAATATTTATTCTCATCAACACCACAAAGAGGCTGTGCATTTAGTCATGTCGGAATCCAGGCGTTCTTTATGTGAGTTTGTGCTTTTAGGACGTTCAGGACGTGTAATTTTTTAGAACTAGGTCTAAAAGTTTACCAAGTGGAGGTGAACTTTGTCCAGCCAAGATTTGGGTCTTTGCCTGTGTAGTCAGGAGAAGGCAGAAACAAGCAAACGAAACTTAAGTTTTTCAGAATTGCTTGCAAAAAGAGCACTGCCTGTTCGTTTGGCTGCTTGGTTTGTTGGTAGACAGAACCTCACCATGGAACTCCAGGCTGACCTCAAACTGTTAATAATCATTCTACTTCAGAGCTGAGATTACAGGTATGCTCGTTTGCTTCTGTGAGGCAGTCTTACTCTGTTTGTACCCAGGCTGGCTAGGAACTCGCCATTAGCCCAGGCTAACTTGAAACTCACAATCCTCCTGCTTCAGTCATCTGAGTGCTGGATTACTGATAGGCACCGCCACACCTAACAAAGGTGTCTCAGAAGTCTTGCTAACGTAGCTGGGACCACTTTGTGGGAGGTAACAGTGGTGTCTCATCTTTGGAGTGATTTCTGTTTGCTGGGGTTCAAATACAAGCCTGCTGAGGGCAGGAAGGGGCTCGGGTAGTTCAGACAACTTGGCCAGGTTAGGGACTGAAAGCAGATACAGAAAACTGGTGGAAAGAATTAAATCGATCTCTTGCAGCCAGAGCACAGTATCTTGACAAGACTGCACCTTTCTTTTTATTTTTCATGAAAAGACTTAATTCTCAAATCTGAAAATCCTTAATAAAGCTAGGATCCAGTAAGACTCAAGAATGAAGAGAAGAAAAAAAAGAAGAAGAAGAAGAAGCTGACTGTGAGAAATGGCAGTGCCCAACCAGTTTTGCAAGCCGGAAATAGGATTTCCCACAAGGCATTGTTTAGCTTGTTAGTATGACAGAGTATGGGGTTCCCTAGCTTCCTGGGTAAAGAGCTAGCTGGTAAGTAAGAGACTTTGTAGCCCTCAAGGTTGGCTTAGTCACAGCTCAGCTTGGCTGTTGTAAATCAAATGTGGTCAAGGAGAATATAGAGAGGAATGGAACCAGTGAGATAGGAAATTTGAAGTTTAGCTGATTTTCACTAGTAGCAATTTTTCTTCTCTATCACACACACACACACAGGCACACACACCACAAACTTGTACTCACACACATGCAACCACATCCACACACCACATAGACACACACACATACCACAAACCCATACTCACAGGCATGCAGGCACACACATACACACACAAACACAGGCATACATACATGCACACACTTAGTGCAGAGGGAGAGGGCTGAAGGAAACAGAAGAGCAGTAGTTTTGGTTTTCTTTGTTTGTTCGTTTGATTGACTGATTTTTCTTCCCCCTCCTGACAGCAGAGAGTACCTTCCCACCTTGGGCAAGAGTCTCTGATGGCTAGATTCTCCAACTGCTTGAATTATTCCCAGAAATTAAATATTCACAAGAACAACATTAACTTGCTTTTGATACAGTGGTGTTTTATTTTGTTTTGAATATCTCCTGACATATATCTTTATTCTGAGGTTTAGTTCTAGTCTTGATTCATCAGTTTTGTATTATACATCAGAATATGCTGAACCTAGGTAAGTTACAAGCATCAGATTTAAGGGAGCGACTGTGAACTTACTGTCAAGTGTAGATGTAGGCTTGAGACCAAAAGAGTTGTGAAAAGGTAACTCTCAAAATGTGATATATACATATATATATATATATATATATATATATATATATATGATCATATATGTGACAAAAGATTCAGATCCACAATATATAAACAGCCTTTCTAATTTGTTAATAAAAAGATAGTCTAATATCAAAGTGTGCCAAGGAAGACAGATGAATGGCCATTAAAGCCATAAAAAATAAATATCTGGCATCCTTATCCATCAGATAATTGCAAATCAAAGCAACAGTGAAATCGAAAGGTAGACTGACTAGCGTGACTGTAATTGAAACATCAGATCACCCCAAGTGTTGGCAAGAGTGCGGAGGAACTGCAGCCCTCAAAGGCTGCTGATGGGAATATAAAAGGACGTGTTCAATTTGAAAAGTCCTGGTTCCTTCAGTTAAATGTCAAGTTGCCGTATGACCTCACAGTTCCGCTGTAAGTCTACATTCAAGAGAAATGCAGAAACAGCCGTGGCGAAAGACGCCTGTACACGGGGCTGGCAGGATAGCTCATCGGAAGGGCATTTGTGCATCCTGCGCAAGGCCTTTGGTTCAAATCTCAGTCCCGCACCCAAAAACTAAACTTAAAAAGGAACCATAAAAACTATACACACCAAGGCTCACTGGTGCTAACGATGCTAAGAGCTAAGAGATGCAAACACCGGGTGGTGGGAGGGGAAGCTCATCTATTGATATGATCCATCCATGCAATGGGATATTATTAGAAAGGAAGGCAGAGCTGGGGAAGTGGCTCAGTGCTTGCTGCTCAGTTATGAAAACCTGACTTTGAACCTCAGCACCCACATAAAAACCTGATGCAGTGGCTTATGCATGGCACCCCAGCAGTGGGGAAGCAGATACAGTGAGAGACCCTGTCTCAAAACAAACAAACAAACAAACAAACAAACAAACATGGAGAGTGAATGAGGAAGACATTGACCTCTGGCCTCTGTGTGTACATATGTGTGCACACAGAAAGGGGTGCTGTACTATGGCAATGCTACATGTATGAACCTTGATAGCATCCTGCTAAGTGAAAGAAGCCAGTCACAAAAGACCACATAATGCATGAATCCACTCCTGGGGAATTGTTTCTAAAAAATCATTATGGACAGATAGATCAGTTATTATTGGTTAGGATGGGGAAATGAATTGAGTATGGAGTGTCTTTCTTCTATTTTATTGATTTTTTGAGACAAGGTTTCTCTGCATAGCTCTGGCTGTCCCAGAACTTGCTTTGTAGACCAGGCTAGCCTTGAACTCAGAGATTCACCTACCTCTGCCTCCCATACTGGGATAAAGGCTGTGGGCCATTGCCACCAGCTTCTTAGTTTATTTTTAAATATAATATTTTTTATTACTTCTTTAAAATTTCATATATGTTTACAATGTATTTGACCACATTCACCTTTCATCCCTTCCTTTAGGAAAACTGACTTTCCTTCCCTCTAGGAGCCATCCACTGTCAATAGCTTCTCAGTTAGAAATACGGACTCATGCTAGAATGAAGACTGCCCCGACCTTGCTCAACGTCCACGGCTGCTATGAGTACATGAGTAGAGCCATCTTGTCGTGTCCAGAGAGCTGTGTTTCACAGCAGCTCCGCCAACTCCAAGGATATTTGTTCCTCACAGATTTTTCTCCCCACCCCCCCACCTTTTTATGAGCTGGGAAAGTTTCTAAAACCAGTGATAGTTGTCCAAATCTTCAAGTGTTATCAAAATAGTTGAATTGACCTAGCGTGATCAGCTCTTTGCCTTCCCTGTCCTAGGCTGCTTTGCAGTTCCCCCCCCATCCTTGAATTTTGAGTTAATCATCCCCCAGTTTAGCTAGCACACCTGATATCCTATATTTTAAACGGTATATATAGTCTCACATTTTTCTTCCCCATCGCTTTTTGTTCATTCGTTGGTTGGCTGGTTGTTTGAGACAGCTTCTTAGGTACTCTAGGGTAGCCTTGCACTCCCTATGGAGTTGAAACTGGCCTTGAACTCGTGATTCTCCTGCCTCTGTCTTCCAAAAACTGGCTTTGCAGGTGTGTGCTACCACAGCCTGCTCAATCTCATTGTCTTAAAACTCATCATTACACTCTTAAGAGTAACCTGTATTGTCACATTAGGATCTTTGACAAATGTTTCTTAATCTCTGTGGTCCTTCTCCAGTCTACAGGCTGTTTCCCATGATTCCCCTTTACCAAGAATGCTGTTTTGGAGACTGTTTCCATATGTCTTAAGAGCAACTGTGTACAGTGTGTGTGTGTGTGTGTGTGTGTGTGTGTGTGTGTAAGAGGTACATGTTCACATGTAGTGTAAAATATTTATCCCTGTCCCTGGCTATCTTCCAAATGAATGAGATTGGGAGTAAGATTTATTCATTCATTCAGCTTTAGCACAATTATTGGGCGAATTACCCTTAATCTATTTTTCCAATGCTAGACTGGTTGCTTCCTGGCTGAGCTTCAAGAACTTGCAGTGTGAGTTTCATCCCGGTTACTTTTGCTCTGTCAGTCTGTGCTTGGGAGCCATTGTACTTGGCCACATGCTCCTGGTCCGTTGCGTGTAATGGAGACCTCCTGTTCTCTCTCTTCTTTCTTCTTCTTGCTCC